TTTCACAGCCGGAGCAAAAATAAACGCCTTTAGGATCCTATAGGTATTTCCATACAGTCGTTGATGCAGTGTCTGAGTCCAACCAACCAAAAAAAAGAAACTACAAAAACAACCCGAACCACTCCAACCCTTTCCACCCCACCCGACCCCGGGAACGCCTGGCGCCGTGGCGCTTGCAGAGCTGCTCGCCGTGGGCCCGGACAGCTCCCGGCCCTCGAGGAAGGCTTGGGCCTCCTCCGCCGTCACCGTACTGGTCACCTCGCCAAAGGCGAAAGCGGACGAGGGATCTGGGAGCGGAGCGGACAGATCCAGGAGGGGGAAGACAAGGAGCGGCAGCGGTTTCTTCGGTTTTTTGGAGAAAAAGACAAGGCTTTGCTTTGCTCTTCAGGAGGGGGGAGTGATCTGGTCATAGGATTCCTTTTGGTTGGGCACCTCATCATAAGGTATTGATAGGTCTTGAACTGTGAACAAGAACCGTGAACAAGCGCGAACCGCAAAACAGAACAAACAAACCACCCCGTTTGACCGGACAAAAACACTTAAATTTATAACCAGCAAATCACACTGAACCAAAGTGAATCATGTCAATGGCTGGCGAAAGCTTCAATCACCTTTTGTTCGCAGGACCCCCTGGAGCAAGTGTCGAAAAGCGAGGTCGCTCTGCTTCCGTCCCGGTCCATCCATGTTCTACTTGGCCAAGCGACGACCTCTGCATCAGTGATCAAGCCCAAGCCCTTGTCCTGCACGGGAAGCGGAACTGGATGCGTCTGGGGATTTTCTTTTTTAGCACCTGTGGACCTGTGCAGAGGTCCGGCTTTGCACTCAACGCACCGAGAAACACGCCACATGGAAGTCGTGCCCAAGTCACGTGCGGAGGTGCGGAGGTGCTAAGTGACTGTTGCTCGTTCCGCTAAGGCTGCTTGGTTATAGGCTTGTTATACCCTATAGCTATAGGTGGATGAGGAGCACTGGCACGAAATAGTGGCTCCCGCGAATTTAGTTTTCAAACGAATTCCTACCATTGAGCCCCCATCAAAAGGATTTGATAATGATTACATGATGATTTCCCAAATACTCCTTATATATGCAATATGTGTCTACATTGGCGTGGTTTCAGGGGTCAATGTTCCATGTTTCATACTTGGAGTGCTTGGGTATGTGTGTAAAGACTCCTAGTGCCGCCATGCGGGTTTTGGGCCGGATCGACACCCGTGATATCCATGATGCAGCAAAATGAAACCACAAAAGCAGAGCCAAACAGGCACGGTTACAGTAACTTATATGGTTAAACAACTAAGAAACTAATTCCTGCCAACAATGTGCGTGCACAAACTATGCAACGCACATGCATACAAACAAAAAAAACAAACAAACAAACAAACAAATCATTTAACCATCTTGAATTCCCCCAAAAGCGCACCGACTCCAAAACAAAGACAACGTCACTACCAGTCGATCACCCAACTCAGGCACCCACCCCACCGATCCCCCGTTGGCCCGTCTTCCCGGTGGTTTCGCTCACGAGCCGCCTGAGCAGCACGTTCCCAAAGCATGCCCTGACGCCGGGTGAGCCGCAGCCGGAGCTTCCGAAGGAACCTCGCAGTTCCAGGTTCCCGGGCCGGTGCGGATGGAGCCAATGGAACCGGCCCAAAAAGGGGGACGACTTGGGGGTGAAGCAACGAAAAACAGGAGTTCTGATTATAATATGTGCACTTTCATCAAAAAAAACATTGATTGAATTCAATTTAAATCTATATAGTGTTTGGGTGGCACATACAAAACCCAACGCGACGGACTGTTCGGGCGAAGAAGAAAGCACCAAAACTGGATGGGAACCGGTGGTTTGACCCGAGTTGGGACATGACAGCCATTTTGCTGGCTGGTGCTTAGGAAGGAATAAGGGAATGGATCCTGAGGGTCCTGAGGTATCTACCGGGGTAGATCATTCCCTCATTCCTGACTAAGTACGAGTCTGAGGGTGCCCAGCACAAGAGCTGGTGGGGTCTTGCGAGACTGAGACTCGCTTCAAGCGGAACTCCAGAAGACACTGAAGCGTCGAGTTTTTTAAAAGAACATTTTTAAGAACACACGGAGGACGTCACCAGACTTGCGGGCTTGGTAGGACCTTAGGTCAAGTTGTGTAGACTGTTCAATGGACATTACTTTTGCATATTAAGTATGTGTATATATATATATATTTGATCAATTCAAATCATCACTTCTCTTTAGTTTCCGTAGCAGCCCACAATCACCAAAGATCAGGAATGCCAATGGCTTGCCGGTCTGTGGAAGCTGCAGCTGAGAGTGGTTCCCACACACATCCCTACATTGCTTGCCGGCTTGGGTTTGGTAGTATATTATATGCCAACATTGGTGTATATACAATATACTCACATTGCGGCACACACTCAATGTTGAGGGTACCAATGTAACATAATGTATATTATATAAGTTGTTACAGTGTAAACGTGTATGGCACATGCATGGTATAGATGCCAGCATTGGGGGTGGTTTTGTGATTGCAGTATGTGCATCGATGAAATGCCATATGTGAAAGCCAGAATGGCAGCATTCCTGGCTCCCTCACTTTGCCTGGGCAAAAGGGCTAACCAAACCCAACCTCTCCACCTGTTCGTTCTTAGTGTGTGGAATCCAGTCCCCCGAAGAGGCTTAAGATATCCACTGACTGGCACTGACTGGGTAGGGAATGATGGAGCTGCAGGTGGGAGTTTTGGGATTGGCCAGTCACCAATTCAGCCATCTTGAGTCATTGAGCATGTCGTCAAGTCGGTTTCGAGAGTAGGCCCGAACAAAATGAAAACCCTTGGTGTTGCCCGGGGTCCATGTGGTCCGCAAATGGTAAGCCATGGAGGCCTTTCACAAGACTAGGCGCTCGTTGTAGCCCGCAACCTCCGCTTCACCTTGACAGCGGCTGAAACCGAACTGCCAGCACCCTCCAGATCTCCCTGTTCCAGGGTTAGACCGGCCTCGATTGGTCATGTGTGGTTATATCTGGCCTTTTTCGAAGCATAATGCTGCCATACCTGGTTGAATTGGTGGTTTCAACTTGAAAAATAGTAGTCAGTGGGCTCAATCATCGCAAGCAAAGGTTGAAAGTAAAACATGTCTGAAACCACCACCCAAACAACCATTTTGTGGCCCTGCGCCGTCAGCCAGCCAGGCAGCCAGACAATTCCCTGGTCCTTTTGGTGTGGTCCAACCAACCTATCCTCAAATCCTAACACATTCACCTCATCCACAGGGCTCTAAATACCTCCTCGCTACTTCAACACCGAGTGGTTAAAGGTTAAAGGTGTTTGCCCTCGGCCTGTTGAAGAAAGAAACCCTGCACCACTTGAGAGGAACACTCCATGTATTGGCATGTGGCGGTGAACTTACTTGGTGCAGGACGTCTCCGGCCCGCCCGCCAATTCTCCCAGTGGTGAGGTCTACGGTCATAGACCCAGTATTTGCCCTCCCCTAGGTGCGTGGCAACCACTGGAGGTTGCGTTGCCACACATGCTGACTGGTCGGTGGTTTCAAATGAATCAGCGGCGCGATTCCATATGAATCTCGAAATCTCAAGTAAAGAGATCTGAACATCTCTGAAACCACCAGATCAAAGCATCTCTCTCAAAGCTATGTTGAGCAAGCCATCACCACCACCCCCAGGCTTCGATCTCGGATCGTTCGCCGGTCCCAGTGGCGCACGCAGCCCCGCCGCAGGGTGGCCAAACAGCCCAGCGCCTTGGGGAACCGGATGGTGTGCCCCGGCGTCATGGATGGATGAGCCCGGTGACGGATGGTGTGAGCCATGGACGAGCCATCCAATGTGAGTCATGTGTTTTTTCCATCCTGGTACAGAAAAACACCATCGAATTGGTCAAGTGTGAGCGAATGCAAAGTAAATAAAGCCATACCTAGACGCTCCCATGTATAGGTTGGTCTCCCCAGTGTCTTCAGCGCCTTGCCATGAAACTCCTCACCCTCCTCTGCGAAGCGAAGAATCACGTTGCACATCTGCCTCGGGTGGACCCAACGAGGCGGTGCCAGGACGGCGCGTTCGTTTTGGAACGGATTGGACCGAAGGTGGAACGGATTGGACCTGCATCTACACACGTGTCGCGATTGTCGAAACGCTGCCTCCACAAAACCCACGTCTTCTGAGGCTGCATCGAGATAACACTTGAAAAAATTTAAGTCGGCGTATACCTCTTCACTCTTCCAACGTTTTCAACCTCCAATCCTGCATCCCACTTTCTCAAACACACACACACACACCCCACACTTCACAAATTTGGTCTAAGGAAACATCTACGTACAGAAAACCCATCGGTTTGGAGGACTGAAAACCGTGAAAACCCAGCTCTGCTCGGTGACGAGCTACTCGATGGCTGGAGTCACCACGTCCTGACCCCCGGTCTTGCGCTCGTTGAGCCAACGCTCGAAGTCCTGCTGCGGGTTCACCGAGCCAATGTGGACCTGAGAGGCGCGGTGTCGTGGGGTGTCGGGGCGGCGGAATCCAAAGCAAATCCTATGGAGTTTCTGGCAATCGAAGATTGTGGCATCACCCCCCAATAGGATATCAGCGAAAGCAGGTGCTTTATTTCTGAAAAGATGGAATCCATGAGGGTGGAGAAAAACAACCAACATGGATTCAGCCTCTGATGCAAGGGCGACTTTGCTGTTGCAAGCGGGCGTTTTTTGCGGCGAGAATCTAGGACAGAAAACTAAGTATGTCTGTTTTTTTTTGCTGAGAATCCACATGGGAGAAACCAGCTATATATAGTCCATGCATTGGGTAAAATCCCATTACTGTACCATATCATGTTGGTTGATTAGGTTGCAGGCCTGTCTCCAAAATAGTGACAATTGTCTACCAACTCTTACAGGTAAAAGGACAACCCAATCCATGCATATGAAACACAATTTCATTTGAACATGACACCAAAGCAAATGTCCCACTCCCCGTCCCAAAAAGGCATCAATTGGAGTCGTTCAGCGCACAAATGTAGGTACAAAGTTCTAGCTAGGTCAAAATTGGGCCTGAGAGTGCAAAACAATCTTCTGTCTCTCAGAGTCCTAACATATCGCAACCTCATAAGAGCTGATTCCCCGGAGAAGTGTTCTATAGCTCTTGTTTGCGGATGTTTAGGGTGTATGAATTTTGGACGGTCGGGTGTTGTTTGAGCGTTTGGCACATGGACAAGTATCATCCAAACATATGTGGGCATGCATCTAATGAGGGCATTGTTTTTTATCCTTTGCCAGGGAAAACTCCAAGCACAGTCTTTCATGAAAGCCCCTTTTGTAAAAGCATGGTTTGAAAACAACACATTTGTCATATGTAACCCTCTTGCAAACTGTGGGACCAATGCTTACCTACAATCTATGAAACGAGCTCGACTCCTGATGGAAAATGATGGAATTGCATTGGACGTATTCAGTGGTCCCCTTGATCCTCCTCGAGTTGGAACCCGCTCTTGATATCCCAACTAACCCATCGAATCTCAATAAACCAACATGAAGCCTCCTTGTTCAACCCCAGTCCCATGGAGTCTTCAGATGTACTAAAACTCCTCCTGCCGTGTGTTCCTGAGCCACCCAACTCGCGGAGGCACCCCCACCGGCACCGCCATGCTGTCGTCGCCTGGCCAAATCAAATGCTCCGCGAAGTCGGTCCCGAGTGGGGATCATCCGGCTGGTATTCCTGAGGTCTCTACCTTGTCATGGGAAGGCCATCAGATCATCTAATGGTGTAGTTTGGCCCAGCATATGCCCCCCCGCGCATGGCATAACTGAGCACAACGCTGGTCAAAACTCAACATGAAACCCAGGGGTCCCATGCGTGTCTTGACCCGGGCAGAAGGGTGTCCTGATGTGTTCTCAGTCCTGAGTCTGAGTCTAGAAGCCATTTTTGATGATAGGTATATACATGTATATCTAATTGTTAGATAATGGTTGTCATGAGCTGCTGGCATGGCTTTAAGCACAAAAACCCTGTTTTTTATCATTGAGTCAACGCCCCTTGAAAAGCGAATCCAACTCCAAAAAGCTGAGCTTTCGCCGTCCACGCCTCGATGTTCTTGCGACTCTTCACCCTTCACGTGTCTCAAGGGCCCCTGGACCGAGCGGATCCGAGTGGATCCGAGCGGGGCGGTCCTCCGGTTCGGGGGGGGCGGGTCCAGACCGCCGGTGCGCGCACCGGAAGGTCAAAGCTGAAACTCCTGGAGCCACCAAGGTGGACCTGGCTGAATGGATGCTGAAACGAGCGCTGATGTCAACGTGGTTGCTCTTAGATATACCTGGGAACCTGAATGACCTCTATTTTGGACCAACCTCCCAAGATATGGTCTTTTTCCTATCCACGCTCAAAACAAAGGTCAAGTGGGTTCCAGGTATATATATATATATATTATGTCTATCGTCATATATATATATATGCTCAGCCCCCCCCCACGACCCCCCCAAAGCAACCAAATTGTCAGTTTCAAGCCATTGGTTTTCTTGATGGTTGCATTGGTTTGCATTGGTTTTGTAGATGGTTGCATTGGTTTTGTGGATGGTTGCATTGCTTTTGTGAAGGGCTGCAAACACATTGGAGATGGGGTATTGTCATTGGTTTGATGGGTACTTGACAGACATATTGAATGTGGAACCTTGGTAATGATTTGGTGTGTGTGTTTGTCGGACATATTGCCTATGGAGCAGTAGTGGAAATGGCAGCAAATGCAAAGGTGATGGGGAAGCCAGATATGCGAAGCCAGACATGTAATCCTAAATGAAGCGTGGAAAGTATGGTGTAGGCTCAAGATGCTACAGCATAGACCTGTTTGACGACATCTTGTCAGTAGACGCAAAGCAGCAAACTCTTTTTTGGCAGCCAGTGAAGGATTAGGTACGAAGATCCTCAAGCATCCGGCCAGTCGCAACCCAGAGGTTCTGGCTCCGGTGCCAGTACGTCCACTGCGCGGCTCGAATTTTACGAGCCAGGGCAGTGGAGCCGACTTTGCGCGGGGCGTACTTGAGGGAGGTGCGCAGGTGGCCCCAGAAGCGGTCAATGATTTGTGTGCCGGCTTTCACGGTCACACGCTTGCCACAGGGAAGCTAGTGTTTCCAAATCTTTGTGTAGTGGGGTTTCACCCACACCTGCTTGCCCTTGACCAGCATCTTTCTCTTCTTGTGCGCCACATTGTCGTGCAGGACACCTGGCACCTTCATCTTGTAGGTCTTGACGCCGTCCGTATGCAAGATGACATTTTGACCAGCCAAGGACTTGTTAGCCATGGGTGGCCGGTAAAGCACCTGGGGGAGGAGGCCCCGGAGGTGCACCAGGAAAAAAAAGCCTCGGGAGGCGTAGGGGGGGGTGGCCCTTCGGGCGTCCCCGGTGAAAACGGAGGAGTGACGGGCAATGGTGAAATCAAGACGCCCTGCAACCATCTCCCCCAAAGGTGCGGCGGAGTCATAGGCACCATGTTGCCGACGTCATCTACAAAGTCAGACCTGAGGCGTGCGAGGTGACAGGGGTGCAAGGAAGGTGCCCTATGCAGATCATACCGCGGATTATCCAAGAGGCTACCCGTCGCTGACATCAACGTCCATGGCGTCCAGCCTGAGATGGGGTGACATGAGCAGAAGGCTATAGGCCAGAGAATGCCAAACAAACATGGCTTAGACAAGATGCTCCGCATCGCTGGTGTCCATCTCCATACTGTCCGACCTGGTATGGAATGAAATAGATAAAGCTTGTAGACTTGAATGCAGGCAGTGATGTGAATTTGAGATAAGTGTTGCTTGGCAAGCAGTTATTCAGATAAGGTACTCCCAGTCGTCTTTCGGAGATTGCTTCGGCTTCGCCGCAGCAATTGAGCAAGGCACCAAAGCCATGGCAAGGAAAGAATAACAAAGAGCAAACGAGGGTTGATGGACTAAGGCTGCGCCAACATCCCAGTTTTCGTTTTTTTTTGGGCGATAGAAGGTAAGACAAGAAACAAACAAACAAACAAAAAAACACAAAAACCAAAAAAGCCAAAAGAGCCAAAACCATCAGGATAGGAGGATATCCAAAAACATTAAAACAGAAAAACATATGAGGATAGGAGGATCTCCCATGAGGTGATGTTGTTTTTGGGTTTTTGTTTTTATTGTTTTTTTTTGTCTTTTTGGTTTTGTCCAAGGGGCCCTCCCCAAGATCTCCAATGAGGCTGTTTTTTTTGTGTGTGTGTTTTGCTGTTGTATTATTTTTCTTATATTTTGAAGCATATAATATAAGAGGCTGAATATTAGTGAAGGAGGGTACCATGTAGCACTTTTTTGCTTTATTTTGCGATACAAACAATATGCATAAAACACTGTAAATTACAATACAAACAGCATGTCGGGGGGTCGTGGGGGGGGGGGACCATATATATATATATATACAAACATGTGTTAGATGATGTTAGATGTCCTAGTTTAGCCAAAAAGCTCCCCAGAAGGTTGGTGTATGTTCTTTCCCTGACATATGCACCCGAAATCTGAATGATCAGCAAGTCTTGCTGCCAAGGCTAAGGACCGTTTTGGTTTGTGGCTGAATCATATAGAATGCACAACTGCTCAAGCCACCTCAAGCCCAAACGTGCCAACCCCAATCTTCCAAACTTGCACGCAAAGGGGCTTTGTCTTCCTCCTTTTCTTCAGTCTTCTTGGCGCCAGTGTATGCGTCCACCTTGATCTTCTTTATGTCCTTGGCAGAATCCATGCCTGGCAAAGGGACCAATTCTCTTTCTATGGCTCCAATTCGGAGCAACCTGTGCCTGGTTTTGAGCGGTGCAGCCCCTGGATCAATCAAGTCAGCATATTGAGTGTTCTCTTTAACTAGGGAATCAATCATGCGGCTTGTGGGATGCTTATGGGAATATACTATCGTCCATTGGACAGAACCAAACCTTGGATGGTTGGCCGTAGTCTTTTCATCTTGTGTCAACCCTGCATGCTTCAGAAAATCACCAGGCAAAAGAAAGGCGCCTAACCTGTTTTCGGCCTTTCTCAAGAGAAAGCCGATCAGTGTCCTTCGTCTGGTGAAAGAACGATCTCACCTGAACACCTCACCTCTGTGTCTGCTATGTCGAAATCACCTGCATTCGTGACATACAGCACTCAAAGTCTACAATAGACTCGATGGAACACAAATCACAATAGAATGGCCATGAATGGCCACACCCACCCACCAACCAACCAACCAACCAACCAACCAGCAAACCAACCAGCCAGCCAGCAAACAAACACACCCTGGATCTTCCAACGTCCAAGAATTTTGCTCATTGACCCACTTTTGAGCGCAAATGACCGCAAAAAAAATCAAGCGCCAACGGCAGAAAAAACAGGTAAATGAGTACCAAAATGCATGCACAATTCGCTCAAACGACTGCAAACATCCGCACGTGCCAACGGCGCAAACCGACCTTCCACAACCAACAAACCCCAAATCGACCACACATGTTGGGCACTTGAACGGTTATCCAGGCCTGTCAATTCCCTAGGGCTCCTGGCCCACCTCCTGAGGTTCGGTGGTTGGGGTGGGTGCAAGGGGGGTCTAACCACCTTCTGAGGATGTGGTTGGAGCCATAGGAATTACACGCTCTTTCAGGATCGTTCACACCCCAACACTCCGCTCTGACTGCCGTTTTCGATCGTGCGTTCGGCGTCGGCATCCGGTCGGTCTGGTCTGACTGCGGGGTTAGGGGCCACTTCTCCGATGGATGCGGCGTTCCGGGTCTTCTCTTCGATGGCCTGGGCACATCCATCGGCGGCCAGGACGAAGGGAGGTGGATGGATGGAGACATGAGATAGGAGGGGAGGAGGGGAGGCAAGGAAAGGTAGCAAGTAGCAAATGGGCGGGAGGGGAAAGGAGATCGTTTTACTTATATTGATGTTGCACACAAACCGCGACGGCGCAGAGGTGATCTGATCTTAGGGGGTGACGGCCTCTGAAGAAGAACCTTGTCTTAGAGAACCAAACTCAATGCACCATCTCCAGATTGTAATGCATTCTTGCTAAAGCAAGGACAGCTCAGGTAGCTCTTCTACCTTTCGTGACTGGTTGTGAGGTCCTGAGGTTCATGCGACCACGATGTGAATCTTGAGAAAGCTTTGGAAGATGAAAACACATGCCACAACCTGTAGTGATCCAAAGATCTTCCATGCTCAGCTGGTGCTGTTGCTACTGCTGTTGCTACCTGTTGCTGGTTTCGGCTTACAGCTCGGATCGAACTCCATCTCCAGCCACCCGTTCTAATGCCGCCGGGGGTCGTCACGCCAGAAGCGCTTCCGCTCGCGACCCACGGCCTTTTCCACCTTCTCCAGGCCTATGCGTGAGGAAAGAGGGGTGGGGTGAGTGCGGACGAAACGAACAAGTCCGTGGCCTGTTGTCAGGCTCTACACTCTGCCTGGACCATCGAATGGACTACCCTACATTCAAATTCAATTCTACCGCAATCTCGCCCAAGACCAGGAAACCCTAGACCGTTTAGACTCTAGACCCTCCTTGATCTGCAAAGGCGTCTCGTCATCCCAGAAAAACATGCCTCCGATCTCCCAGTTGGAATTCTATGGAAGTTCTTTGGACTCTTCTACTTTGTTCATTAAGTTGGTTTTAGGATGTTTTAAGCATGTCATGGCATACCTGGTCACCAATAAACACACCGTTTTGCTCATAGAATCTTTTACCAAGTGCCCCTCTGAGCGAGTGACCCTTCAGAAACACACAAACAAATCGTCTGGTGTTGGCTCGTGCGGGAAAAGGAACACTTTACAATTGTAGATTTTGGGGTGTCAATCGGCTTCATCTTTGGAACCTCTGCTCGTACACGAACTCTATCCATGATCCTGGTGTGCGTGTGCGTGTGCTTTGCTTTGTATTTGTGTGTGTGGCAGGGGTCCAGGACGTCTGAGTCCGCAAATCTATCTCTGTCACCAACACCGACCAACGGAAGGACGAGCTGCCAAACAAAGCCTTCACCTTCAAACGCTCGTTCTCCGGGAGCACCTGGCGCGTACCCGACCGATCCGGTGGGCGCGCATTTTTTTGGTGAGTTGGGCATCCACCTGAAACACTCAAAAACAAAAACATATAAACCTCAAGTGTGAAGAAGTGCATCCACAATGGATCCACTGTCATTCCACTACAATCAGTGCTCGGCGTTGAACCAACTTCTCCGTCTCAACCTCCCATCCAGTCCTCTCAACCTCCTGGGCATGTTGGCGCCCGCCTTCTCCAGCGCCAGGCGCGCGTGCTCGGGCATCTCCAGCACTGGAGCTGCCACCGAACTCTCCAGCTTGGCGCCTGAGGAGTGACGTGTGAGCGAGGAGAGGCGACGGCGCGAGATGGCGCGAGTGCGAGTGGCGGTGATCCTCCAGGCACAAACGAGGAACGCCTGTGGGTGGCAAAGGCGAAAGGAGTTTAAAGGAGTGGCAGAAGCTTCTGGAAGTATTTATAGTTGCCTAAAACGTCTTCAGGGTTATAGTTTCCACATCCTAGCTAATCTTCATGGGGTTCTTGAATACCGCTCATGGGATGGGCTTTGGGACCTCAAGTGCGCCCTCAGCCTGCATAGCTGGGAAGCTTAAATTCAACTTTATGGTGTTCACAAGGCAGTTGAACCCGGCTCATCACTCACACGAAAGCATCCACCCTGGTCCCCCCGCTGTTTCACCTCGCAACTGGTGGATGTCCGGCCTGGGTCCACTGCTCGCCGACCCAAGAAATCATAGAAGCGCGCCAGCGAAGGGTTGCTGGTCTCCTCGGGCCTAGCACAGGTCTTCCGCGGCCCGAAAAGCGGCCGCGGAAGCGGCCCATCGGGAGCTGAATGGATCCGAAGTGCGGAAGGGGCCTGGTTTCATACGTCCTACCCCGTTGGAGCGGAATCGGGGGTGGAGGTAGAAGTGTCACGCTGAGCCCGTGTCCCGGGGTAGGCCCCCGCTAATGATCGTCCTAGTAGCTGTGAAAGTGGCCAAGCCACAAAGAGCCTGAGAAGAGTTGAGAAGACGTACCTGATCAATGACAACACTGGCAACAAAAGTGTGCTAGGCGCCAAGTTTTGCGCATTGAAATTGACATCGAGGTATACTGTACCGTATACTGTGCCCTCCGTCCAGCGTCCTCATGGAAGTGGAACATTGCCACGAGCCATGTTCCTCTACGAACGCTGGCCGTTTCACCCATTTTCCACCATAATTGGCCGGGGGGAGGGCCCGGGGAGGGTACATCTTGAACCAAATGGTCGAGTCATGCATGATTCCAACCGATCTGGCCGCCCAAGTGTCTGACCCCCCTGACTCCGCCTCAGCGTCTGTGGATCGAAGGTCAAAGCATCAACCAAAGAATTCGTGAAGGCCTTCTGCTCGGCAGTGGGCTCCTAGTGCATCTGGGAGTGGAAGTCACGAAGTCACAAAACTAGAGCACCACTCAATGATGAGGTGCGAACGGAAAACTGATTCTCCCACGGCAACTCCACCAGAGGTGGAGATGTACCAGTCCATGCCAGTTCACAGTTTTGCGGATTTGCCTCAGGCTGACTGGGTTGTCCAGTAGGGCCACTGGCATGTGTTGCTGTGTTCACCGGTCGCCCGGTCGTCAGGACCCGACCCACGGTCGCGCGGTCGCGCGGTCCGGCAATGAAGCGCAAGTCCATTCACCTCAAGTGCCGCGTGCCGCGTGCCGCGCGGGCTGAGTTCAAGGGAGTCAGGTGTTTATAGAAATGCTCAACACAAAATCTGACATGCAGGACCACCTATATCCCTGATTCATGTAGCATGTAGACATGTGGTACTTTAATTAAGGCTTGTTGTATTAGATTGTATTAGGTGTCTTGACCCTGCTACAGTATACATCTTCCAAGTCGATGACCTCGTTAAACTTGTTCATTTAGAATTGGAGATAATGAACACACTTGTATGTTTACGATCCTAGTGTTGCTTGGCACCGTTGAAACCCATGTTCATGATCTCTCAGGTGGTTTGGAAGGGAATCAAAGGCGATGTTGAGTGACATCAAAGGTGTTCGTTGTGGTTTTGAGGCTCATTATTCGACATTAAAAGCAAAGAGGTCTGAATTGCGGGCCAGCTATTTAGCATAACAGGAGTGTAACAGTTCCGTAACAAACCCCCTCCCAAAGACTTCTAAACCTGCAACTGATCTTCAAAAACCGTAACAGGGTTGAACTCGCTTGGAAAAACGAGGGCCTTGGTTCGGACAAACAGTTCCGTAAAAATTGGTTCTTTTCGAACAGTACTCGTTTGACTTGCACTTCGGACTTGGAGGGACTGTATATCTAATCTAAACAATAAAACATTAAACATTTTAAACATACAACTATGTACTATCACGTTTTGAATCGGAGATATCAGGTGGGGTCCTTTCAGATTGTTTCTGTCAAATCTTCCCAGCCTCTGGAAGGGGAGGGTTGCCCATTACGAGGGTTACCTGGCATGGCGCTTCGGTGGGCGAGACACCGCCAGGAATTGCACTCGTGTTTCTACGGTCTAGGACAAGAAACCTTCGCCTATGACCAATCTGGTGCGGCTATTATATAGCCTCTGATATAAGATTCTTTTAAAATATTTCAAGCCCCCATCATGAAGAGGTTCTTACCATCCAAATGCAGGACATCAAACGCCTATATTGGTTCTTAAGGAAGTTCTGGTCTCCAGAACTCGACCCGACTCGATCACCCCCCCGGTTCCCGAGTGTGTGAGTGCGGACGCGCGGATCGGTCCCAGCGACGAAGGTCTTCTGTGAAGGGCATATATTGAAGCACCAGGTGCGAGGAGCTGGAGGCATCTCCTGAAGTGCGATCTGCCACAGTGTTCACACTGCGGAACACCAGCCGAAACACCCAAAGCCGGGAACAGGAGTGTCTGTATGGCTCTTAAATACGCCGGCAACACCCAAGCCAACACATTGCTGCCAAAAGCTCCTCACCGCTAAGCTATGGGGAGACCATGTTCGATTGATTGGGATTTGTGGATCAAATTTTGTATATACGGTATATAATATATATATATTTTTTGTTGGGATCTTGTGACTCGCGGAGAAACACACAATTTTGCAGTAATCATATTTATCTCAGCTCGCTTTGGACCCGTATACAAGCCGTATAAAAGCAATATATATAATCCATCCTTTTCCCAGTGGATGAGGATGATGAGGAGGAGGGTGTTGCTGATGACGATGTGGGCCTCTACTGAAAAAAAAACGGCCCTTCATGGTTGCAGCTGGGTCTGGTTGTGATTGCAGGTTAGTAGCTTCTTGACGTTTAGCTTCTGGACGTTTATCAGGCGGCTGGCCTGTTGTCCAAAGGAGGACCACGGGCCCACTCCGGCTCCTTTTTTGGGGATCAGCGCCACCATCCGCGGCTGCGAATCTTTGCGGAAGCAGTAGCGTGCTATCAGCACCCTCTTCTCACTCAACATGGCCTGGACAGTCCGTGGGAGAATGTGTGAGGATCACAACTGGGAAAGATGCAACATCAATCCATTCGCCTAAAATGATGTACCAGGAAACTCAGTCAGTGCTGGGCCCCGCGATGTCGCTTTGCTTTTGAACGTCTGCACTGGTGGTGACGACGTGAGAAACCAGTGAGAAACCGCCTCGACCAAAGACTCGAAGGCATAGTGAGCCCACGCGTCTCCCTTGTCCGCAGCGACCACATCAACGCTGTGCAAGCTGCTCTCCTGGGTCCGTCCACGGGGCCAGGAACTGAGGAATCGGATCTCATGTTCAGGCAGGGGCTTCTTCCTTCAACAGGCTGATGAGGTGAGTGGTTCTGATATAGCGTTATACTTCACCCCAAGTTGATCTGAAACATCCATTCCACGACCAAAAGCCGCATGAGAAACAACAAAAAACAGCAGACCCGGCAGCCCCGGAGGTGTTCCCCACGATCCATTTTGCCTTGTTGCAACCTGGAGCGAGCCTTTCAAAGTCGAAATATCATTCAAAAAGTCTGTTGAGTATCAAGTCTTTCATCCTGGGTGTCAATGCAGGTCAGGTCTGTTAACAAGTCCAAACACCCATGAAGTAGCAAGTACAGTAATTGCTCGCATCAGTACTCTGGATGTTTCGGTCCAGCAGCTGGGCTCACGCTGGCGGCATCTGCAAAGCCCAGTGTGGTTAAGGTGCGATCACAGGAGTAGGACCTCGGAAAGCGCGACAGTTTGGCAAACTCAAACTGATATGGGGCAAAGGCCCGACTGGGCCACCAAATGGTCAAACTGGAATGCAGTCAAACAATGTGTTTCAAACTGGTCAAATGAAAAGAATCCGAAACGAATTGTCTGTGATTCTTTTGACATTGAGCAACTTAGTCGACTGTTTTGGTGAAGGTCACTTCCTGACACTTAATGGCACAGTCTGCAGGATTCTGAAGGGTTGAAGACCTTGACAAACTGCATGTTCGCATCTTCATTGGACAAATACAACGGTTTAATGACAATAATCATCTGACTAAGGTTGATATCACTACACATCTGGATGGCATTCCAACATGTCCGTTGCTTTCCCCCCCGACCAGCCAAAGAAATCAACATCCCACATCCGTCAGCCTACAGCCTACTCCAAACAGCTCGAGGTGTTCTGTTTGTTTTTCTCGCATGGTTTGAATTCAATCTTTGCCATGTGCACCCGGTGGCAAGGCGGCTTCATCGTACTCCGACATCGGAACGATGTTCTGCCCGTACTTGAAACCCTTCCTCGGACCGCTGGCGTGTCCGCCGTCCGGTGGTCCCCCTCGGACATGCTGTGAATCCCATCATTTGGGAAGGAGATGGCAACAAAGTCCAGCTGTCCGGGACTGATCCCGAGTTGAACCATCTTGAACCACTGTCTACTGCATTTGCTTTGGGGGCACGTAGCACACACCTTGACGGTGGAAGACAGCAATTTGGACTGACATGCCTAGCCAACGATGGATATAAGATATAAGGATAACATTTTGGCATCATTTGGCATCTGTATATGATTGACAAATATGATTGTATTTGTAGTAGTCTGGCAACGGAATGCAAGAAACACACTCTACAAATCTGAGCAAATCTGAAACTCCAGCCATTATGAAGAGTATACTCTGCTAACTGCTGCGCAGCTATAGACTCTAACTCTAACAAACATCTATACGTATTTGATGCCTTTGATCTCTACCGTCCTTGTCACCACACGCGACGTCAAGCCCCACGCACCCACGCACCGTCCACCTTCCACGCCACCACGGGGCACGCGATCTTCCTTCTTCACCTCTTCCCCTTCCTTGTCGTCCGTCCTCAGTCGAGGAAGGAGCGATCAGCTGGAAGGGATGTCTCTCCCACCTGTTACGACCTGCACGGTTTCTCAGGGCGGCTGGTCGTTTAGCGGAGACGATTCGAGGTGACCTGGTCGTTCGAACTCGCCCCATCTGACACGATGGAAAAACCACCAGGTCCGACGTCGCGTGGTCCAGGCGTCGCGTAGTAGGTGCGGTCCGGAAGGACCTTGTCGCTCTTGCGGGCCTCACTGGGGATGGCCTCGGAGCGCATCGACCGCCCGCGCGGAGCGCGCTCGCGAGGTCCCACGAGGTGGGTGGAAGGTAGCTTGTGTCGCCAATGAGCTACGATATTAGCGATGCTACTAGTATACTCCCTACAAATCCACATACCTTCTCAGAAGGTACGACTGGGCCCTCCAAGCCTACATACATAGTCTCCAATCACCTTCTGAGAAGGTACTTGGATCCCTAGGGACTAGTAGCGATGCCCTTGAAGACTACTTACTCGTAGCGAAGCTTGTTCCGTTCGTGGGAATGCCAGGGGCTACTTACTCGGTTCGCGTCCGTTCGCTCCGTTCGAGTGATGCCCTTGTTACGTTCGAGTCGCTTCTTGTTACTATTAGGTCAGGTGAATGCTGAAAGACCTTCGATGGTGGTGATCTCTTGGAGTTATATAGGTATTTGGAAGCCAATGTAATTTGGAGATTTCATGTGGTTATGTAGGGTGTCTGAGCACGAACCAGCCTGGACTCATGAATGGAATTCTGAAGTGTCCCAGCCCCACGAACGCCATCTGGAAGCAGCCAACAATGTTGGATTTCGCGTCTTGATTCGCACATGTTGCATGACAGGGGAGTGTACCTAAACAATGTCTCATGATGCCACAAAGGCATTACCCACCATCCCTACCATCAACATTGATCAACACATGTTCATTCTATCATGTATGTGTTACGCCGTGCAACCAACCTTTCTCCAGTGGAATTGAAGCACCACCAAAAGGATTGTTGTTGGCAAATCATCGAAATAACTTGCCCGCGGATCCATTGCGAGCCGGCTCAAGGCATCAAAGGATGTTGGTCATGTGGACTGGAGTCTACCACCGGTTGATCTGAGGACGGGACGAGGTTGAAGGGACCAGTAACCCTCTCTGACAACAAGAGTTACGTGGAACAGTTCCGGCCCTGGAAAGACCATGACTTCCCAAGACCAAACAGCAAATTGTCCACTTGCATGTTTGTTGGAAGTTGGAGGGAGGGCAAAACAATCAGCCAAAAGAACATGTCAAAAAAACAGTGAAGAGTCCACCAACGGCTACAGTTGGGTGCTGCAACCATCACTGCTCACATCTCCTCACCAATGAGCACCCTGAGTGGTGCTGGCAGCAGCCAACTCATCTGGCCATGAACCAAGATGCGGCTGCCAACTTTGACTGCTTCTTCATGGTTGGAAAGCCCACACCTTGGAGGGCGTTTCTTTGTTCAGGGCCAAAGATGCCAAAGCTACTCTGAAATAAATCTAGTGTTACCCACCACAAACTCCTGGCACCTTCTGAAAGACAAACATTCCAAGACCAAAAGAAGTCTGCAAACAAGAACAAGTGCATCAGCTGCGGGTCCTTGCGCAATGAGAAAGGCTTACTGTTGCCCTCATTGCCTTGCTATTTATAGCGCAGCAACTTGCAAATAATGCATACCCATGCACCAACATAGGTCACTCATTCTTCCAAAGCCAATGCTGCCCCAAATCAGTTGGACGACCTCCAGTGGTGCCTCTTCCACCGGGCCACGTGTGGTCTTAGAGTAGACGCCAATGGGGATGTCCATCTCAGGGGAAATGGTCAAAGCCAAGCGAACCTGTGCCGATGGGGATCGGTTCCGAGACGCCTGAGGGGAGTCAGGTGAAGGAAGAAAACAGCAAAGCAGACTGGAAGCTGCTCCAGGTGTAGTACACACTTTGGGTCTATCCTACCTGTAACAGTGGATGATGATGGTTAGGTACCAGGCCTTGTTCAAACATGATGATCATTGCAAATAGGACAAACCCTAAGTATACCGTCGTTGCATTTGGTATATCAGAAACTGGAACATCCGTCTGAAAATGTTGGAGCCAGCACACTGCTCCATTTTTCGGAGCCAAAGAAGTGTAAAAGCCTTAAAGTTTGCTCTTGTCAGCTGAACTCAACGGTTCAACGAGAGAAAGGTCAAGTCAGCGAGTCAACCTTTTGCCATACCTTCACGCAAGAACGTAGTGAAGCATAGTGAAGCATTTCCCCCCCTCCAACACCTCCTTTGCGGAGTGTTGGGCCAAAAGAGGTCACTAATTGAAGTGACCTACAGCAGCTGTTTTGGTTGGCTAATCCCCAATACAACTTGCAAATTGCAAGTGAACCACCCTGGCCTTGGCACGTTGCTCCACCGGCTTCACTCTGAGCTCAGTATCTCTCAGAAGCTCCGGCAAGGAGACCACCTTGAGGTGCTCACCTTGCTGGTAGGTCAGTGGACGTTCTTCGAATGCAAGACCCAGGGTTGAACCCTCCAGGTATTTATATATACCCTTTCCAACTGGCTGGTGCTGGTGGATGTCGCTTTCGCGTTCGCAGCACGAGGGACGGTCCCAACAACGGAGGGACGGGTCGCCTCCTTCAGTGAAGACGAAACCCGTCCCTGTCGTCGATGGGTCGGACGGTCGATGGGATGTCACGGTCGAGACGAGTTTGTGGACAAGAACTCATCCAGTCAAGAGTCATGCAGTGAAACATATCTTCAGAATACAGTCTGTTCGACTGTATTCTCATGAATCCGGCAGGTTGATCGTCATTCAAATCCGGCAGGTCTGTCAGGATATCCTTCAGACTGCCCTGTCAGAGATCTGAACAGGTCATGCAGGCAGGACTGATGCAGTCAGTATATGTTCGAAACACTCCAAGTTCTACACATCACATGGAAGTGGACAACTCTACTATCCCATAGGGTCCAGGTACCTCCTGAGGATGGTCTTGGAGTCTTGGAGGTGAAAGTACTTCCTGAGAATGGTCTTGGGGAGTCAAAGGACATCCTCAGGATGGTCCTGGACCCTTAGGGTATAAACATGGGAGCAAGGCGTCTTCCAAGGGACCAAGGTCGTCTACTTCCATACGTCACATGAGTCATGTTCTATAGTTCTTGTCCGAGCTGGTCGGTGGTCGCTGGTCGACCGTGTGTCTCAACACCCTTCGGACCACCGGACCGTCCGTCGGGATCCCAGCGCCCTTTCCGCGCGCTCCACCGGGTGCCCCACCTTGCAGGGCTGCCCAAGCGCCCTTTCCGGAGGAACCGACTAAGGTCACGCTGAGCTCGGCACCCATGACCTGTTCACAACGGCTGAGCGGTACCAAGTGCATAAGGACGCAACCTAAACACAACCTTCCGTGTCGTAGGTCAGATCCTTTGCTCACAGTCCAATGTAGTGCTTCTGTAGCACATCACGTTACAAACTGTATGGGAGATTGGAGACACTGTTATGTAGGTTTGGAGGCTACAAGTACCAAGTACCTTCTCTAGGGAAAGGATTAAAAACCACATAGAGCAAAGAGTCGAGTGCACTGAATTTAGGACACTTTCAGACTTCACCCTGATTATCCACCTGTTGATGTCTGGACGAAGGGAAACCACATGAAACCACTGGCCAGGTAGTTCTAGCCTCACCCGGTGGAGTCGGAGGATGCCTGGTGGAAGAAGGCCGGTGCTTGGCTAAGGCTACCTTTTCTTTTTAGTTGGGATCTTCAAATGACCCAACACTGGCTTTTTCCGTGTGCGATCTCCAATCCAATCAGGATCAATCAGGCCTAGAATCTGGCATCTTCAAAACGCTGTTTCAACTTGCTTCTGCCCTGGCAACCCTGGTGCCATGAAATAAGTTCTGGTCCCTCGAATGTTTCAATCCAACCATCTGAGCCCCGTCCGCACTCGCCACCCGCGCCTGCAATTGTTTGGCACCTCGGGTCTCGTCTGAATGGTGGCAGTAAGTGAGTTGGGAGAATCTGCTAGAACAAACCGTAAATACAAAAATTACAATTCCCACCGGAACGGCAAACGAGATCATCAGGATGGGTGTCCCGCCTGGTAGAAGTGACAACTTGTGATGACTCTTGATTTGCAAGTTGTGGAATAATGAACGTGGTGGGGCTGGAGACCTCTAGCAGGGTGGGCCTACCAGCACCCTCCAACAGGGCATGTCCTGGTAACAACAGGTCCCAAAACAGCCCAGGGGTCCTGGCATTCCTCTCGGCTCCTGTCTCGCAGCTGCGCTTCGAAGAGGTATACTGCACCTGCCCTATGAGGGGGTCTCGGACGCCTGAAAGCCTTCTCCATGCCAAGTTGAGTGGAAGTGCGTGCGAATATAAGGCGACAAATACGACAGCACACGCAAACACACAAAAACATGTGTGTGTGTGTGTCAGACTCAAAAAATTTGTTGCCCTGTTGACTTGCCAGAAGAGAACATCATTTCCAGATCCCGTCGTGGTCCAACTATAACGTTGCACAACCGTGCAGCTTCATGGTCCCAAAACCGGGGCGGCGGTAGCTCCTGTTTTTTCCGGTCAGTGCTGACATAAAACTTTGCAACGCACTCTTGGAAAAAAATCGTTGCACAACACTAGCATTTTGTTCTCTCACCCCGCGGCACTTGGGATACTACCGGGGCCCTCCATGCCGAAGTGTCTGTTCGCATGGTTGTACGGCCTTGTTTTTGGCGCTGCAGAATCACTTACTTGGTACAGTCCGATCCAAACCGCTGCAGTACAGCAAGCCCGCACACAAATACTATAGGGGACCAGAAGTGTTGAGGCCTTTAAGCTGTTGTTGGTGTGCTTGGGTGGATCACTTTTGAATGTGTGCACATTACCGTGAGGGCCACAATGCAAAGGTCTGAAATTTGTGTGCTTTAGTAAGGACACCAGCTGCCCTTCTGATATACCTGAAGTTACCCCCTCCCTTACAATGGGGTCTTTGATGTGGAAGTGGCTACCTGGCATACCCCGCATCCGTGATCTACCTTTTCTGGATCCGTGATATGTTGTCTTTCTTATATCTTCTTGAGCTCTTGTATAATTCTCAATTATCGGAAATTCATCCGTGCTGTGATTTTCTGAAATAGGGAATTCATGCATCCCGGCTCAGTCGTTCATTGGGCCATGTCTTCAAACGTGGGCATCCATGCGAAGTAGCCGGTAACAGGTCCGTACCAGCGCCATGACCAGCGCCTCTCCTTTAAACATCAACACTTTTG